TAGTTTTGTTTTATCGTAAAACAGACTATTACATGAGGAAAGCGACAGCACATAATACCATTTTTTTCTGTTATTTAATTTCTAGATTATCCTATTTTCTCTAATAATCGAAGGTTTGGAGGTGGCGTTCACATTTTATCAACCAATATAGGTAACGTTCACAGTTTATCAACCAATGGAGGTAACGTTCACAGTTTCTTCGACAATGGAGGTAACGTTCCGAGTTCCTTCTTCCTGTTAGTGGCGATTTCTAAAGTAAACTTATCACCGATTGTATTTTTATAAAAGAGTAGAGACGAAATAAATCGTCTTGCTAAGCGTGTTCTAACGTAACCGAACCAACCTGTCTGACGAAAAAAATGACAACTACTTAAAGCTCTGGATACAACTGTGGTAACCAACAGTGTAACGAACATTTGTGTATGTATTTGACTTATTTTAATATAATGCTTTAAAACAACTGGACTTTGTGTTTTTTTTATAGTTGAAATTTATCACCAATAACTCACAGACACCAACTGTAAATAATACGGCTCATACCTACATAAAACCTAACAGTAATATTACAATAGGTATTTAGTAGTTTCGTATAATGTTAGAGTAAAAGTATGGTAATATAATGTTATATTACAACAGTGATATAATAAAAAAATCTAATTTTTCCATAGAGATATAGTAATATAGTGACTAAGTTGAGCAGTGTTAACATTAAGGGATAGTCTTGTCTAGTTATATACTGGATATATTGGTAATGTTTGATGGACCTTTATGTCTTGTTGTGTATTGGATATTTAGTCGATTGATTTTAACTCTATATCTAATACACAAGTGGACACGACTATCCATTGATTTTAACTCTATATCCAATAGACAACTATACACAAATATTCATTAATATTACTACTATATCCATTACAACCTAGACACAACTAATCATTAATGTTACTACTATATCCAATACACAACTATACACAAATATTCATTAATATTTCTACTATATCCATTACAACCTAGACACAACTAATCATTAATGTTACCACTATATCCAAACTAAAATTAGACACAACTATTCATTAATGTTACCACTATATATTCAATACACAACTAGACAAAAATATCCATCAATTTTACCACTGAAACCGTGTAAACATCATTCATTCACAGCAGTTTTACTAAATACAACTCAAACCGTGTAAATACCGTTCAACCACAGTAGTTTTATTTAACACGACAGGAACCATGTAAGTATCATTCATTCACACCAAATCTACTTACCATAACTTAAACCGTGTAAACATCATTCAGATTTATGAGTTCGGGGGAGGAAAAAGAAACGTTTCACGAAAAGAAGAACGGGATTAAAGGTTTTTGAAATTATGCAACAGACAATCACTTGACTACATACCAACAGCATGTGAACTTTAGCTGTTACAATTTCTGACCATATGGCAACAACATATGGACTTTAACTGTTATTCAGGGATCTGCTACAACAGAGCAAGGAAGATACAAACCGTTATTGAAACCGTCTTAACCTTCGTCGGAACACAGGTAAGTAAGGAGCTTGTAGAACAGCCACTACATCTTTTAAGTCTTATGCACGGAGGCCAGGTCACCAGCAAGGGGTCAAAAGACTTGGGAAGCTCCACTATCTCAGGGTATGATTCACAGACTGCGGGTGGAGCTAAATAACCCAAATAAATACAAGTTAAATATGTATAGAACTTTGTAAGTCGTAAATAAAAAACCTTCGAACTATAAAATATACTAGATGTTATCTTTATCCATAATTACAAACTGTTAATTCCAGTATATCTAATACACAAGTGGACATGACTATTAACTATTATTATTAAACATCTGTAAACACCACGAAAAATCATTAAATATTTGACAAGTCTACATAAGTTTGATTTCTTTGTCCATAATTACACACCATATCCAATACACAACTAGACATAACTATTATTATTAAACATCTGTAAACACCACGAAAAATCATTAAATATTTGACATGTCTACATAAGTTCGATCTGCTGGGTGAAGCAAGTGGAAACGTTCAATCACAACAGTTTTATTTAACAGGTGTCTAGTTGTGTATTGGATATGGTGTGTAATTATGGACAAAGAAATCGAACTTATGTAGACTTGTCAAATATTTAATGATTTTTCGTGGTGTTTACAGATGTTTAAGGAAATCTATCTTTCATATTTTACCTACAAAAGTTACATCAAATTAAACTGAGTTTATTTCTTGTTTACTCGTTCAAAGTTTGATAATAAAATTACTATAGATTCAGTGTTCAATCGTCAACATCCCGCGAAGGATATAAATATTCATTTCATCTAGTCTGTTCACGTTTAGATAATTAGAACGGTCGTTATTTCTATGGCCTTTTACACCTTGCTTTACATTCAATAGGTACTCAAGGCCAAATATTCTGAATCAGGAAGTGAAAAATTTGATTTCCAGAGTCAGGAAACAGTTAATCTTGAGGAACACGAACAGTGTTCGTTTCAATGTAAGGACAAAGCTTCAGACTGTTCGAGCCAAAAGATTTATAAGGAAGACGAGTGCCGTTGCGTTTGTAAAAATCAACATAGATCTGGCAGCTGTCATAAGGACCAAACCTGGGACTCCGAGGTCTGCGAGTGTATATGTAAGAACTATTCTAAGTGTTCGACAGGGCTCTATTTTAACACGCGGACTTGCAGGTAAGACATCTGCACGAATAGAATGAATATTTAGAGTAGAAATATTGAAGCTACAAACATTAGATTTACTACAAAGAATTTCTGAAAATACTTATGAGTGACACAGAGGCACATAAAAATCGAAGTTTACGTGCAAAGTTGTGGTGGTAAAACAGAACAAATCTGAGTATTAGATGTAGTGGTAAAACAAAACAAAGCTGAGGAATAAATGTAGTGGTAAAATAGAACAAAGCTGAGGAATAAATATAATGGAAAAATAACTTTGACTTTCATCAAAGATTAAATGATAAATTAAAACATTAATTGTGATAAATTTCAGACTAAGAATGATTCTGATTTCTCCCTTTTAATGATTTTATTGACATTTATTAACTAATTTTAATTAAGCACCTTAACTGATTACCTGAACCTTCTACAATAGTGGTCATGAAAACGTATATTACCTGAGTGATAATAGATTATTATAAACATGCTTGGTTTAGTACGAAAGTGCTGAGAGATTATTACAAGCATGCTTGGTTTACTACCAGAGTGGTGAGAGATTATTACAAGTATGGCTGGTTTACTATCAGATTGGTGAGAGATTATTATAAACATGGTTGGTTTACTATCAGAGTGGTGAGAGATTATTATTAACATGGTTACTTTACTACCAGAGTGATGGGAGATTATTATAAACATGCTTGGTTTAATACCAGAGTGGTGAGATATTATTATAAACATGCTTGGTTTACTACCAGAGTGGTGAGAGATTATTACAAACATGTTTGGTTTGCTACCAGATTGGTTAGAGAATATTACAAACATGCTTGGTTTACTACCAGAGTCGTGAGAGATTATTATAAACATGCTTGGTTTACTACCAAAGTCGTGAGAGATTATTACAAACATGCATGGTTTACTACCAGACTGGTGAGAGATTATTATAAACATGCTTGGTTTACTACCAAAGTCGCATGTTTGTAATAATCTCTCACCATGGTTTACTACCAGACTGGTGAGAGGTTATTACAAACATACTTGGTTTACTACCAGAGTCGTGAGAGGTTTTTATGAACATGCTTGGTTTACTACCAGATTGGTGAGAGATTATTACAAATATGGTTGGTTTAGTAGCACAGTGGTGATATATTATAACAAATATGGTAGGGTTTGTACCAGAGTGGTGATAAATTATTACAAACAAGCTTGGTTTACTACTAGAGTGGTGAGAGATTATTACAAACATGCTTGGTTTACTACCAGATTGGTGAGAGATTATTATAAGCATGCTTGGTTTACTACCAGATTGGTGAGAGATTAATACAAACATGCTTGGTTTACTATCAGACTGGTGAGAGAATATTACAAACATGCTTGGTTTACCACCAGCATCGTGAGAGATTATTATAGGCATGCTTGGTTTAATACCAGAGTGAAGTGCGTTTTCATGGCAACAATGTATAGAATGAATAGAATCAAGCATCTCAAGTTGTCATGACAGCAATAAATATATATATGTACATTCAAATATATTGATTTAATGGAGCGAGAGCCGTTGTTATGAAAACGATACCCACATTTATCAGGATTGCCGATACACTAAAGACATGTTTTTACAGCTGCGTTGAATTTTGAAAGAAATTCACTGAAACGAATAAAATGACGTTTTTAGGATCTTTTGTTTATATATCCTTTCAAATACTATAACTGTGTAAACCTGTTTTAATGAAGCTTACGATATCTTTAATGTTTTCTTTTGTTTTTTCTTTGACGTAGATGTGACACCGTCAGTTTACTATGAAGTTTTTAACCCTAACTAGACGTCGCTTAGCAGCCCAGTGAGACTTCTTGATTCGAGAGTTAAACTACCTGGTTTTAAAAACTCCTTACATGGTTAATAAACATACAGTTGAGTCATATATATGCTAATTTTATACATATCTTACTATTAATTATGACCAATGCTGTTTATGTTCAATATCAGTCTAGAATACTTGCTACGAGGAACTGTTTCACAAAACGTGAGTTTCAATAAATTATTATAATCTTTTCAGTCACTACCAAATGTTGTTCTATGTTATTTTTTGCTTCGTGGTATATATCTAGAAATAACGTCCCTGACTTTATGACCCAGCCGTTTATTCTGTCAAGGTTTCAAGGTATGTCTGCGGGCTTATACGCCAGAAACGGGGTTTCATCTAGATTTTTTTTGATCGAAGCCAATATAGGCTTACATACGTGGATAAATATTTTTCACAGATTATACACAATGGGCTATCTGTGCTCTGACCACCACGGGTATCTTAATTAAGGAAAAGATTGTTTTATTTTTTAAATGTCTGTTTTATTTATTTTGATAAAAAAAAACAATTAAAAATAATGGTAAGTAAAGTGTTCTCTGTTTGATCGTTAATCTGTATGGAATTTGACTTCAGATTCATATAACGTCATATATGTTCAGATTTCATTCGCTCATTCTTTTATGAAACTTGTTTTCACCTGTATTACCTTGTCTTAATAAATCAGGTCTGAGTTTCAGATGTAGGCTGATCGTACGAGTAAATAAATAGACAATAAATGTAGAAGGCATTTTCTAAATTTTATCCAACTTACAAATTTTCTAGGAAAAACGGGTTCAATTTCCGTTATCAGTAAAATCTAAAACCACTTGTCACTATGTACGTTACTCTTAGCTAAAGCATTAACACGATATTCAACCCAAACCTTTGGCCAGCGCATACTACTCTCAGTAAACGCGTTACTATGACAAACCGTTACGGTTACCTGTAATACTAGGATCCTACTTGACTGTATACGTTACTATCAGTAAACACACACACACACACACACACAAAAGAAAGACGCGATCCAAACACGGGGGCTATGGGTGAGTTATAAGGGTAACAGTCAATTCTCACTAATATATCAGACAAACGAAACCCAATAGTTGGCGTTGAGTGCTGTTAGTTACCTTCCCTTTCGTCCATAAGCTCAAACCTAAGGACGACTAGTGGTAATAGACCTCAAATAGCTTTGTGTAAATATCCGATAAAATAATTATTTCATTGTTTATTGTTAAACACAATAGTAGCAATATGATTTTTGGTGTTTAAGCCTGCACTAGGGATGCCGAAAAAGGAACCAGACAGAAAGATTTAAGATGTTTATCACTATAAAGAGAGGTTAAGGCGAAATTTCTAACATTTTTAACAACAAAGGATTTCTTGGCCTAAATTTAGAAACTTTCTACACATTTTCTACAGTGAGGGATACTTTAGCCTAAATTAGAAACTACTATACACATTTTTGCAAAGTGATGGATATTTTGGCCTAAATGTAGAAACTGTCTGGATAAAACTTTCCTACAAAATGTCACTGTCGGGATAAAACTCTCATAAGAAATGTCACTGTTTGGATACGATTTTCATAAAAGATGTCACTGTTTGTAGTAGACTTTAATATAAGATGTCATTTTTTGTACTAGTTCTCTATATAAGATGTCACACAATATCTGGATAAGGCTTTCATGAATATATTAATGTTTGGATAAAACATTCAAACAAGATGATACTGTTTGGATAATACTTTCATACAAAAAGTAATTATCTAAATAATTAATTTACACAAGATGTTAATTTAGGGCGATGTTTTGTTTCAAACACCATAATAATACATAAATGTAATGTCTGGAGAAAAACATGAACAGTTAATGTGAAAAATATTTCTTACATAAAACCTGTATAGTGTTAATGTAGGACTTGTCTTACTAGTTTTTTCATTGAATAACAGCCAAGTTGATGCTCATTGGCTGAACACCAACAGTTCCTTGTTCTTGGTTAGCGATAACCTTTTGACTTATTAAACTTGTCGTTAAAGTTGTGTCATGAATTTACTACATAACTTGATACAAAATGAAGATTATGAATGTATAGAAAAATAAAAACGAAAACTTTAAAAATGTTTGTTTGCAACCACGCCTGGTACCAGTTTGGTTTCCTGGAGATATTGAAGATGTGATGTGATCAGTATTTGTATTCCTGTAATACTGATGATTAAATGTTATGTACGTTGATAAGTGATCAGTATTTGTATTCCTGTAATACTGATGATTAAATGTTATGTACGTTGATAAGTGATCAGTATTTGTAATCCTGTAATGTTGATGATTAAATGTTATGTACGTTGATAAGTGATCAGTATTTGTATTCCTGTAATAATATTACGTACCTCGATGTATGATCAATATTATTGACCTAATATTATTCACCTAATTACATACGCACACAATTTGATTAATTTTGACAGAGTGATAGCCCTGACCTCTATGAATTAGATTAATAAACCGATCATATCCATCCACTGTGTTCAACATGGCTTTTTCTATAAAGCCAAATCAAATAGATATTAAAAGTCATAAACACAAATCAAGAAACCAAAAGTTTGTATTGCTGACTTGATACACTTTAAATCCTGTACACTTACTACTGTATTAATTAAACTATTTAATCTGTCGTTTGAAAGCATGTTGCCGAAACTTCACAATATATTTTGTACAAAATAAAAGTTCATAGAGTGAATAAAATAATATCTACATTTGGTATTATCATACATAAAAATATATTAATTGGTATTATCATACATAAAAGTATATTCACTGGTATTATCTTACATAAAAATATATTAGTTGGTATTATCATACATAAAAGTATATTAATTGGTATTATCATACATAAAAGTATAATCACTGGTATTATCATACATAAAACTATATTCATTGGTATTATCATACATAAGTGTATAAAAGTTTAAAATAAAATACATAACGATTAAAATAACTGGTTAAAAACCTGATAAAAGGTTTTGTATTTGATTTACATTTCCCACTACTAATATCAGACGGTTTCATTTTATATACTTGGTTTTGGATTGTTACTGGCAAAAGTCATGAGTAAACTTGTTTATTTGGTAAGTCCTAGCTGTAACTCTTACTGTCAGAGAAAGCAGGTTTCTGAAGAAACAAAAATACCAAGGCTACTAACAGCTAATACTTCTAGGAAATGTTTAACTAAAATATTATTTCTCAAATTTTAAACACATGATCGTTGTTGCGCTCGACTCGCAATCTGAGAATCGGGAGTTCGAATCCCCGTCATCGAACATGCTCGCTGATTTAGCCGTGGGGGCGTTATAAAGTAACGGTTAATACCATTTTTCGTTGTTATGTAGTGACTGTTATTTGTGTAGCGACTAGTGCTTGTGTAACGACTACTCTTTATGTAGCGACTATTGTTTATGCACCCACTATTGTTCATGAAGTGACTATTGTTGAAGTAGAGACAATTTCTTTATTTAGCGACTATTGTTACTGGGGTCACCGTATTAAGAAACGAACAAGCGTCCGTGGATAACACACGCCTGCGAATTTAAACTTCATTAAAATTCTTTTGGTTTAAATAAGGGATAATTTAGCTACGCATATTTTGAAAATAATATTCATTTTTTTCTATCACGTAAGGATTTTTTATAAATCGGTAAGAATACGAAACTCTTACTTAGATAATTTTTTTAGTTCGTTTACCACAATGAAAATTTTTTATTATTTGGGTTCTACCTCATTATATGGAAACAAGGGGTTTTATATATGTAATAACGTATTCTAACCTTATTGTATGAAGACAAGGGATTTTAAACATGTAATGACATGTTCTAACCCTACAAATACTCTTAATGTAGTAGAAGAGTATGTAAATTTATGATCACATTAGGTTGTACTCTCGTGACCTACTCTCTGAATAACTACCCTGCCAGAAGCTTCACTAAGAGAGGTAGGGTCACGTGATAGTTATGGAAGGATATAGTTATTGCTCTTTGTCACTCGATATTGTTATTGATATTGAAATGTATTATTGGTATAATATATTTGTTGTATTTTTAGTATTTTTTAATTAGTTTTTTTTCTTTCTGGTTCTTTTTCCCGATTCCATTGTTATTGATTTATTAATATTTGTGATAAATTGTTTATTAATATTGGTAGAAGTCTTGACCAGGTATTTCTTTATCAATTGTGTTTTGGTACGTGTTGAATGTATTTCTAAATGTTATTGTGAATACATTGTTTTTGTCGTTGAACCCTGATTGTATCGAT